CCTTTTTTACATTCAGAGGCACTCGACCACTGAGCCACATTCCAAGCCCTATTTTGTATTTTACTTAAAGACAGGGTCTCATTGAGTAGCTTAGCACTTGCTGTTGCTAAGGCTGGCTTTGAATTTGCGATCCTTCTGTCTCAGCCTCCTGAGTTGCTGGTATTACAGACGTGTGCCACCATGCCTGGCTGCTCTCCCTCTTTCTCAGGGCCTTCTGTGAGGTCCTTAGACAAGGATAGACCTGTGTGGACACATTTAGCAGACATCTGTTTTGTGGCTTTGAGCTTGCTCTGCTGGCTGGGACGATCCTGACTTATCAGCATGTACCTCCTTGAGACTAAGGAATTATGAGTGGCTCTAAGTGAGCACATCTTCTGTTGTTGTAGACCTGTCTAACAACGCTGGAAAGTTTTGCTTCCAGAACTGTGATTGAGAGCACACACTTTGTTGCTGGGCATTTGGACCATCAGGCCTATAGTTATAAAGAAGTCACTCCTTGAGCTTTATTTTTCACTTGGAAAATGGGGGTCACAATCCCACTGTCACAGGTGGCTGTGCAAACTAGCAGGATACAGACTAAGGATCAGCCCCAAAGTTGATAGTCCTTGGCAGGCTGCTAATCGCTTGAGTGTGTTGCTTTGAGGTCAGCTCCCATCAGTGTGAACTCCATTGTACCCCTCAAAACCACCCAGAAAAGTCGTTCACCATACCAGTCTCAGGCCCCACCTTCAAACTGCTGAACGGAAACTCTGTGGTTCTTGATGCTCTGTTTTCACAAGCCCTTCATGTGACTCTGTTCACTCAAGGTGGAGAACCTCTTTAATGCAAAGTGCCTTGCAGATGCCAGCCAGGAGAACTAGTAACTCACTGTATTATGTGTGGATCAGTGAGAACCTCTCGCCAGGCTAATGTTGGGATGAGGTTATCCTGTGTGTGTCTGAGAGTGAAAATGCATTTTTCCCTCCACACCGTGGGGGAAAAGCCACCTTTCATTAAAGTGATAGTTAACTTGTAATTATTCAAGGGTAATTACAGAGTTTGTGAATCATGTCCAACATTTTTGCTGCTTCCTGAAAATCCCCTTATTTAACATTTTTCCCCCTGCCCACTCTTTGCTTATACCTTGTTTTGAGAACCATGATATATTATAGGCTAAACAAAAGTTTACTCATACTATGAATTGTTTGTGTTATTTAAAAAGTTACATTACCCAACTGGGGCTGTAGCTCACTGGTAAAGTGCTTGCCTCGCCTGTATGAAGCATTGGGTTCTATTCTCAGCACCACTTAAAAATAAAGATATTGTGTATTGTGTGTCCATCTACAACTAAAAAAAAAAAAAGTTACATTGCCTTTCTTTTCCAAATGGAATCACAAAGAGGGAAATATTCCTGAAAAATTTTTAAAGACTCTTCCCTTAGCCATTTCAGATTTGTTTTAAGTATAAAGTGGAACAAACCATAAGTCCAGTCAGTACAACTGGCAAAGGCCTGTCAGTTGCAAGGAGAGAGGAGGCAACCCACAGCCAAGGTTCACAGCCTCCCCCATGCACCTCTGTGAACTTCCTGCCTTTTTGGCCTTCCTCTGCCCTGCCCAGAGCCTTGGTGAGTGAGGCTGAAAAGGATGTTGCCCCAGAGGGCATGAGTGAGAGTCTCACGAAGTCCGAGCCTCAGAAGATTCATCCTAGAAGTAACATGCATTGTGTCTTGATTTCCCTCACTATTTACAGGCTTTTCAGTTGAAGAGTGAGGGTGAATTAAAACCAAAAACAAAATCATAGTTTGCTTTAAAATTGGCAGAGTATTGCATATGTTTGCCAATAAGATCTTGGTGTAGGTTTTATTTTTTATTTTTTTTTGAAACAAATGAAGTAAAACCTTAATTAACATTATCCTTAACTTAATAGGATTTCTTCTGTGGGAGGCCCCTTGATTTTAGAATCACATAGTAATAAGCCCAGTGTTAGGCATTTTATGAAAGAACAGCCTAATTGCTTCCCCCCCCCCCCAGGTTATTTCTGTAACAGTTTTCATTATTTTGGAATGAAAAACCAGAAGTACGTTGAAACCTAACTGATCCCGAGATGAGGCTGACACAAGACCGAGCTGATTGATTTAGAAATATTCTAGTGATTGAAAACTAGTGTCATTTTGTTTAAGTACAGTTGAGTATAGAATAAAGGGGAAATTAAGCAAGGACCCCCGAGCAGCCTTAGTTGAGGGACTACTATTCACACCCTCACTTTTTAGTTCCCCACTGAGAATTTTGCTGTCTGAGGTTCTCTTTTCTGAGACAAAGGTAGAGACTGCTCAGAAGTGACCATAACACTGCCCTTCAAAGCAGAGCCAAAAGCTGTGAACACTGAGGAGCAAATAAAGCTCTAGGGACTCGTCCTGAAACTAGCAGTAACAGAAGGGGAGAAAACAACTCCCCTGCTGGTGAGCACAGCTGAGCTGGGGCCCTTGGTAAGCTCCTGCTTAACCACCCGTGCAGCTTGGCCTGACCTCAGCAAGGTGCAGGGCGTGGTGCACAGGGCAGTTTTTCAGGAAAGGCTCTTGGGAGTTTCAAGTGGCTCCAGAGTATAGTTGCATACATCACCACTTCCTGCAAATTGACCCAAAGTGGCTGAAAGACAAGTGTAAAGGGAAAAAAAAATTATGTTCTAATCAGCACTCTCAAGTAGCTTATGCAGCTGTATGCTAATGTATGTCACCTCTTGAAACAAGAAGAATAAGCAAAATCATTAAATAATTGAAAGGAATCCTTGAGTGGTCAAGTCCATTGTGCTACTGTCAATCAGACCTAAGTCTAAATATCCAAAGCATGTGACATCCAGATTCAATTAGAAAAGATTCCAGTCAGTTCTAATTTATTTTCTCTCAGTATGTTCACTATCCTAAATAGTTACCTTTGTAATTATGAGTTCTGTTAAAATCTAAAATTGCAATATCTGTCTTCTAAGGAGTAATGGTCTAAGCAGATGATTTTTGACAGTATCCTATCTATCAAATTTAATCAGGTAGCTTAGTTCTCCCCACTTTTAGATTGAAAGACTGTGGTAATAGCAGTCTTTAAAATAGCTCTAATTAATTAGTTTATTTATTTATTTATGTTCTTTTTAGTTATATGGCTCTATTTTTTTTTTTTTTAGAAAATTGTATGTTTTCCAGAGTTTAAGAAAAAAGTTGCAAGTAATTTTATTAAAACAACAACAACAGCACTGAAAGCACAGTGGCTGCCTTTTTTATTTAAAAATATTTAATGATTAACTTCTATGCAAAGTATCATGCCTTACACCCAGGAGGGAGGTTATGCAGAACAAGAGGTTCTATTCTACTGAAGTTCATGTTCTAGGGAAAAGTGGGGGAGAAAAGGTAACCAATGACCTGTCCAGCAAGCACACACTTGGTGAATTTGAGGAAGCCTTTGGAGTGGGTGACATTCGAATATTTCCAGAGATCTTCTGGAAGCTGACAATTGGGGCTGGGGATGTGAAGTTGAAAGAGAAGCCATAGAAATTTTTGCGATTAGAGTGAAACCATCAAAGTCTAGGATATCACTGAGAAGCAGGGAGTAGTCTTGTGTGACTGGAATATAGAAGTGGTGTTTTGGACAGTCCTACTTCCTAGCTAAGTTGGTCCTGGAAGAATTGCTTATCTTTCAGTAAAGGTCTGGATGGGCATTAGAGCAAGAGAATGCCCTGACAGGGAAACGGACTTGTGGGAATCAAGTAGAATGCATATGGTAGGCCTTTTGGGGGTACAGTGGGGTCATGTACCCCCATAATTGAGCTGTACCAGATTATGAGGGAATTTTAATGCCAAAGCAAGGATTCAGTTTATTCTGCAATATAAAGGAGCCATCAAATAATGTTACTTTAAATATGGATAGTGACGTGAGAATCGGGGCCTTAGGCCAGGCTTCTTTCCATGGGAAAGCTGAATTTGAGGGATATGGAGGAGCCAAAGAATCAACCAAGCTTTTGCCAGAGGAAATAAGCTAAGTCAAGAGAGAGGGAAGGACCAGGGAGGTTAGAGTTTGTAGTAGTGCACACAGCCGAGGCAATTGAATATTTTCCTGTTTGTTTAAATAGCAATGGGAAAAATGATTCAGGGGATTCTCTAGAAGCAAGTCTATGAAGACAAAAGGCTTTTTATAGTTCTAATTTTCATTATTTATTATCACATGAGTGGGTTGTGTTGCTGACAGTGAGGCAGGCCCTCTTTGGTTCATGAGACAGCTAAAATTGCCCTTCTTTCAGAATCCATTTCTGTGATCTGTTCCTCAATGAGTGCATTTTAACCCCTCTGGTGCCAAGGCTGATGATTTAGATATATTTTATATGGTTTAAGTAGGGCAATCAGTTTATAAGACATTCTCGCTAGGTAGAGTTGACATCTCTATAATTGGATTTTCTCATCCTTGACACTTGAAATAAGAAATAAAAATCATCTTTTTTTGGATTTACATGCCAAGACACTCCCAGTAGAGTAGGCTGAGAATAAGGTAAATGCTGTTTTGGGTGCCTGGTAGTCTTTTAATTATAAAATAAGCCTTTTGATTTTAATCTTCCAAAACGTACGACACTGATCCAGGAAAACAGCCTTTTTAAAGTTCACATCCTGCTGATTCCTTCAGATGAAAAGCTTCTGCCTGTACCCCATATTTTGCAAGCTGAAAGTCAAAATATCATTACTCTTGTCTCAGTTCCCCAGTGCCTATAAAAGACCGTTCGTCTTAGAGTCGGTCCTGAGCCATGATGGAGGCCTAGAGTGAGTGAGTGGTTGGGATTGAGGAGACAGGACAGTGGATGACAAGTCACAGCCAATTGACTGAAGCCTCAGTCTAGGGGTGGGTTAAGGACTTTCTTTAAGTCACATCCCTGTCGTTTCTTCTCCTTAGACCTATCCTCATCTTGATCCACATACGCACCATGGGCATGACAAAACTTGAATACTCATAGGTTTTATTGTTTTTGTTTTATTGTGGCATCTGAAACAGCTTGTACAATGAAGACAGAAACCTGCTTCGAATTAGAGAGAAAGAGAGACGCAACCAGGAAGCTCACCAAGAGAAGGAGACATTTCCTGAAAAAATCCCCCTTTTTGGAGAACCTTACAAGGTATTTACTGTATACTAGAGTGTGAAAATCTGATTTATCATAATATTGAGCTCAGTGATGAAATGATTTAGTGTAATTGAATTCAAATAAGGTTCACAATTGTGAAAACTTCTTCTAGAGATTGTTTTTGGAACCAAATCTGAAAATTCTCTGAGTATCATTAGTTAAAACTACCAAAGTTTGTGGTTTTCTTTTGTAATGTCTTGTATAATTAGTAATATGTGTGCAGGACAGGCTTTACAATGGGAAATGAGTTAAAACTCCACATTGAATTCTGTAAGTTACACATGACATTGAGAATTTTTATCTTAATGGTATTATGTAGCAGTTTATTAAATGATTGTTCTCCTTAGACTTATTCCCTCCAGTATCTGACTGTGCTCTTTTCTTTTATTCAGACAGCAAAAGGTGATGAGCTGTCCAGTCGGATACAGAACATGTTGGGAAATTATGAAGAAGTGAAGGAGTTCCTTAGTACCAAGTCCCACCCTCAGTGCTTGGATGCTTCTGAAAATAGGTTGAGAAAACCGAGATATTCTTTATTTCCTGACAAGGGGAGCAGCATTCCGTCCAACTCCTTCCATACCAGTATCCACCACCAGCCCATTTACACTCCCGCCTCCGGACCACTTCCTGTTGGTAACATTAGCCACAATCCAAAGATAGCACAGCCAAGAATGGAACCATTGCCAAGTCTCCATGCCAAAAACTATGGCCCACCAGACAGCCAGCACCTGATCCAGGACCGTCTCGGACAGGAGGGATACAGCTCTAGTCATCACAAAAAAGGTGATCGTAGAGCTGATGGAGACCATTGTGCTTTAACAATAGACTCGGCTCCAGCAAGGGAGCTCTCTCCCTTGATTTCTTCTTTGCCTTCCCCAGTGCCCCCTTTGTCACCTATACATTCCAACCAGCAAACTCTTCCCAGGATGCAAGGAAGCAGCAAGGTTCACAGTAGTAGCAATAACAATAAAGGCTACTGCCCAACCAAGTCTCCCAAGGATCTGGCGGTGAAGGTTCATGATAATGAGACCCCTCAAGACAGTTTGGTGGCAGTTGTCAGCCATGGGGTAGCCCCTTCCCAGCCACCTTCTCAGACATTTCCACCCCCCTCCCTCCCCTCAAAAAGTGTTGCAATGCAGCAGAAGCCCACAGCTTATGTGAGGCCCATGGATGGTCAAGATCAGGCTCCAAGTGAGTCCCCTGAGCTGAAATCACTGCCGGAGGAGTACCGGCAACAGAACTTTGAAAGAACAGACTCAAAAGTGCCTGCTGAAGCCAAGCTCACCAAACTGAAGATGCCTTCGCAGACAGCTGAGGTGAGTGGAGCCTCTGATCCTGGGCAGTTCCCATTTGAACAGATTTGGGATGGAAATGTCAGGATAATAGGAATGGGGAGGTGACTCTTTCACTTTTTGGTGGGATATCCTTTGGCTTTAGGATCCTGTTAAGTCTTGAAAACCTTAGGTCTGAGATGAATTCTGTAAGTTACACATGACATTGACGATCAACTTTGAAATGTCATTTGCGGAAAAGTTTAAAGAATCTTTTTCATTAACAACTGGTAAAATATAGAGATCCTAAGAGTATAATTTATGTGTATGTCTGTATAGCCCACAACCCACTCAAAGTGGAGAACATGGGCTGGGGTTGTGGCTCAGGGGCAGAGCGCTTGCCTAGCACACATGAGGCACTGGGTTTGATCCTCAGTACCACATAAAAATAAACAAACAAATAAAGATATTGTGTCCATGTAGAATTAAGAAAGATTAAAAAAAAAAAATGGAGAACACTTTTAGTACCTGAAAGTTCTAGGAAAGTTTTGAGCTGTCTTCTTGTTTGCGAGGAACACTGTCTCCTTTTAACAATGTGGAGGAAAAAAACTTTTTGATTAATAGTTCCTCAGCCCAAGTTAATTTTTTTTTTTAGTTTAAACCATAAAAAAGCAACATCCAGATGTCAAAATGTTAAAGGGAAAGACTTTATTTTTTTTTAAAAATTAAATCATAAGGAACTTTGAAGCTAGAGTACTGTTCTAATATGTTTTATTTACCACTTATGTGTATGGTGACATCTCATTTGAGGGTGAGTCACAAATACAATAGAGAATGTTATTCAACTATGGGGTTTAAAGTAACCAAAATACTGAATTTTTAAACTAAGAAAGAAATTCCCTTTTTCTAGTGCTTTGATAAATGGCAGCATTGTGTTTGAATGAGGAGAATCAAAGCACATATCCTATCACTGAAATTTTAAAGGAGTATCAGTTACTGAAAAATTAAAATTAGTAGTGCAAAGTGAATTTTACAAGTTAACCAGTAAAGTCTGTGGTTTAGTGTTTTGTCTGTTGTATAAACATTCTATTGTGAATATCTGTCATTCAAAAATTATGTGCCACCCAGGTTTCAGTTTACATAATGACTGAAGGTTTAAAGAATGATTTGGGATTCTTCACTGGAAAGATAACTTTGATCTTCAAGGAGGAGAATCTGCTCCTTTGTAGTGTCAGTTTTTAGTTTAGAAGAGGGATGCTGGGGTTCTGTCCTCAGTTGGTTCTTGAGCAGTGAGCATTCCCCGATGTCTTCAGAATGTGGCCTTTGTTTGGGGGTTGAGGAAAAATGGGAAAGGAAGAGTAAAGCAAATAGATCTCTGACTCCATCTTACAAAGAGTCCGTGCAGTGAACCATTTATTGAATATTTTGTGCTGCAATGAAGGCAAAATAAAGCAAGATCCTCCCTCCTGAAGATGGTCTGTCAGTCCATCTTATAATTCAGACAGTGAAAAACTTTATGGGGGTTTCTTTGGTTTATGTATCAAGTAAGGTCTGCTGTAACTTCCTAAATAAACAAAAACAGAAAAGCATCTAAAGGGACAATTCAACATTTTTTTCTTAAACTACTAAACAACTAAAAAAATTTCTTCAAAATAATTTTAGGATGCATTAGTAGTATTGGCATAGTCTACCAAATGTTCAACCGTATGCTGAAGTGGAAAGCTAAAGAAGTATCCGTCCTGCCCCTGGAAAGCTGACATTCTAGTGTGGTCATCAGCCTGTATTCACTCTTGAAACAATGAGAGAACAATTGAGTACACACTGCCTGGGGTTGGGTGTACAGTGAACCTGTGGAAATTCAGCCAATAGGTTTCCCAGTAGACGCTTCAGGGAGAGCATCTTGGTTAACTTTCTTGGGGGCAGAGGTGGGATAGAGAAGCTGAGTCAAGGTTTCTCCCAAGTCTTAAAGACTTTCCTGTTTAATATAAATTTTAGGTGTAGGACTATGTTCTATGGTCCTTGCACATTTTCTGAGGAGTGAATATTTGAAATGCAGGAAATACTTCATAAATTTGGTGACTGGAGAATGGGATTTTCTTGGCACAGATGCATCTCCTTTTAACAATTGAGTAGATGTAAACTTGTCATTTGCAGTCAGTGTTTCTTGTAATGTGACGGCTCCCTCTGGTCCCTGCCAGTGCCCTCATGCTAGTGGCAGCTGTACTGCCAACTGCCTGGGACCCCTGTGGTACTGCTGGTGAGCAGGAGGATGAAACTGGGGGATCAGCAGATGGAGGGGTCTGGGGAGAATTAGGAGCCAGGAGCTTGGAATGAACGAGGAGTAAATCTGGGAAGCAGCGATGGGTGCTCTCTGGCTAGGTTTTTTTCTCTTTCTTTTTTAAATGTTTTTTTCTATCTAGGTTTTGGATTTGCTTTAGTTCTTTTAACAAAGCTCTCACATCTCACAGATTTCCCATTAATTTTCTGTTTACACACAATAAAATGTGTATGTTATTTTTTTTTAATATAGATGAAACTGAAAATCTCAAATTTTCATATTCTGGTAAACCCAAGGAAAGCATAGGGCTGGGGGACTAAGAAAAGCAGTGAATTAACCCAAAGCAGGTAAACTTTGCATATAGAACCAGAATACTATCAGTGTGTCCTGGGTTATTTTGGATTTGGGGCAATGTGGTAGACAGTGAGGGGCAGAATAGGAAGATGGCTGTTGGCTGAGCTCAGAGAAGGGGCATAGAGGGAGATAGCTAAGTAGTTGTCACTTATTTGCTTAATTGATTCTAAGGCCAGCCAGGAGATTTTCGCTTTCCTCGCTCTGAGTGTGAGGGTGGTTGGATTTTGTGGTTTATTTCATTGTCTCCCCCTTCCCCCTGTCCTCATGACAGAGTATTTTTTAAACGAACCCAGGTAGGAAAGTATCACTTTGTCTTTCTAGAGTTCCTTCATTCTCAGGGCCCATACATGTGGATTCCTTACCCTACCTTCTGTCCTTTTACCTCACAGGAAGTACTTGTTTTTTATATATATATAAATATATATATATATATATATATATATATTTTTTTTTTTGGTGATCTTAAAAAATGATATTCTTTTCAGGGTAAGTCATTCTCACAGTTAAAACTTAGTCTTTCCTAAAGTCCTAGAGGAAAAAAATTACCCAAAAGTCAATATTCTGACCAAATAGAGGCCTGAATCACAAAACTCCACCCTTAGTTTTCTCTGGGTGTGTCAGTTTGTGTCAACTGGAAGACTAGAGTTGTGAGCAGTGATCTTGCTCAGAGCCGGGGAGGACTCTAGGATCTCATGCAGGTATTTTCCAGCTGTACAGTTGCCACATCAGAGATGGAATTGCCCAATGGGAAGGTTGAGATCATTTTTCATTCCTTTTCTCTGCTTAGAGATAACAAACGAAAGAGAAAAGCCATTGCCTCCCTGGATAGTTATTCAGGAGCATGGGACTCAAGGTTGTGAGGTAAGGTGGTAGAGTTAGAGGGAAGGAGGTGTGCCTAGACATAGGTTTTAGAATGCAGGATTGTGTAATAGCCTTTTTTATTTTTATTTTTGAAGTCATTGTTTTATTTTATTTTAAATTTTATTTTATTTTTTACACAAATGGAGCACAACTTTTCATTTCTTGGTTGTACATGATGTAGGGTCACACCATTTGTGCAGTCATACCCGTACATAGGGTAATAATGTCCGTCTCATTCCACCATCTCCCCCTTCTCCACACCCCTTTCCCTCCCCTCCCTCCCCTCTGCCCAATCCAGAGTTCCTCCATTCTTTTCTTGTGTACCCACACACCCTGCCCCACCCCATTAGGGATCAGCATCTACTTATCAGAGAAAACTTTTGCCTTTGGTTTTGGGGGAATTGACTTACTTCACTTAGCTTGGTATTCTCCAGCTCCATCAATTTACCTGTAAATGCCATAATTTATTCTTCTTTAAGGCTGAGTAATAATCCATTGTGTTATATACCACAGTTTCTTTCTTTATCCTTTCATCTGTTGAAGTGCATCTACGTTGGTTCCATAGTTTAACTATTGTGAATTGAGCTGCTATAAACATTGAGGTGGTTGCATCACTGTAGGGTGCTGAATTTAAGTACTTTGGGTATAGACTGAGGAGTGGGATAGCTGAGTCAAATGGTGGTTTCATTACAAGTTTTCTAAGGAATCTCCATATTGCTTTCCAAAGTGGTTGCACTGTTTTGCAATCCCACCAGCAGTGAATCAGTGTACCTTTTCCCCCACATCCTTGCCAGCACTTGTTGTTGTGTAATAGGCTTTTATTTAAAAAGAGAAATGGCATAAGCAGAGTCTACAAATTCCATACTGAATTTAGGTTATTAGCATTTTAAAGGTAAACACACAGCCCTTTCATTTCACAAATAAGGTCTAAGAGCATGAAGTCACTTCATTTTGCTAAAAATTATAGTTAGTATTAGGGATAAAGGTAGAAATACCAGTTCTTTGGTCTTTCTACTTATATGACTTGCCTGGTGGTAGCACTGGCTGAAGTGATGGTGGTAAGATGTGGGTTTGGTTTTTTTCTTTTGAACTTGGACTGAACTCAGAGCTTCATGCATGTTAGGTGAGTGCTCTACTATTGAGCCACACCCCTGGCCCCAGTGTGTGTATTCTTGACCAGAAGAGCTGGACTTTGTCTTCTGAATCTGTAGCAGAGCCTTGGGGAAATAGTAAGTTTCATTTCTTATTTGTGTTTATTGACTTAGGGTTTTTATTCTTCCTTATTTTATGTTTTTTTTTCTTTTTTTAAAATCCATGTAACATATTGGAATTAACTCCCATTATGTGCCAGGCACAGGGATATAGGCCCTGGGGATGTAGCTGAGATCAAGCTAGACATGCCCCTATCTTGTAGACCTTTTGTTTTATGGAGGACATTGATGATTAATTCACACATGAGCAGTAGTCTTTTGACAAGAAAGTTGCAAGAAGTAAGGAGAAGGGCAAGGAGAGTGAAAAGAACCAGAGGAGGCCAGTTTAAAAAGGGTGGCCA